ATCCTTCTCAAACTATTCCAAAAAATTGAAAAGGAAGGAACAATTCTAAATTCATTATACTGATATCAAAACCAGATAAAGACACTACAAAAAAAATTACAGGCCACTATGTCTGATGAACATAAAATGCAAAAATCCTCAACAAAATCTTAGCAAATTGATTTCAGTCATATAGTAAAAGAACGATACACCATTATCAAGTGTATTCCACAGATGCACGGATGGTTCTGTATGCACAAATCAATCAACATGATATACTACATTAACAAAGTGAAGGATAAAAATCACATGATCATGTGACTAGATGCAGAAAAAGCATTTGACAAAATTCAGTATCCATTTCTGATAAAATCTCTCAACAAAATGGATATAGAGGGAACATGTATCAACATAATAAAGGCCATATATGACAAACCAGCAGCTAAGAAAGTACTCAACGGTGAAAAGCTGAACGCTTTTCCTCTAACATCAGGAACACGAAAAAGATGTCCACCATTGACACTTTTATTCAACATAGTATTGGAAGTGCTAGCCACAGCAATCACACAAAAAAAGAGATAAAAAGTATCCACATTGGGAAGGAAGTAGTAAGACTGTCACTATTTGCAGATGACATGATAATATATATAGAAAACCCTAAAGACTCCACCAAAACACTATTGGAACTAATAAATGAATTCAGTAAAACTTCAGGATACAAAATCAATATACAGAAATCTATTGCATTTCTGTACATGAATAATGAATTACCATAAAGAAATTTACATAACAATTATATTTACAATTGCAACCAAAAGAACAAAATAGCCAGGAACAAATTTTGCCAAGAAAGTGAAAGACCTATACTCTGAAAACTATCAAACACTGATGAAAGAAACTGAAGACAATATAAATGAATGGAAAGATATAAGAATTAATGTTGTTAAAATGTCCATACTATCCAAAGCAATCTACAGATTCAGTGCAATCCCTATCAGAGTATCAATGGCATTTTTCATGGAATGGGGACAAATAATCCTAAAATGTGTATTGGAACCACGAAAGACTGTGAAAACCAAAGCAATTTTAAGAAAGAACAAAGCTGGAGGTATACATCCTGATTTCAAACTATGCTACAAAGCTACAGTCATCAAAACTGTATGGTCTTGGCACAAAAATAGACACATAGATCAATGGAAGAGAATAGAGAGCCCAGAAAGAAGCCCACTCTTACATGGTCAATTAATGTACAGCAGTGGAGCCAAGAATATACAATTGGGAAAGGACAGTCTCTTCAGTAAATGATGTTGGGAAACTTGACAGCTACATGCAAAAGAATGAAACTGGATCACTTTCTATGCTATATACAAAATATAAACTCAAAATGGATTGAAGACTTAAATGTGAGACCTGAAACCATGAAACTCCTAGAAGAAAACATAGGCTGTATACTCTTTTACATTGGTCTTAGCAATATATATTTTTTTGGATCTGTCTCTTCAGGCAAGGGCAACAAACAAAAATAAACAAGTGAGACATCAATCTAAAAAGGTTTTGTGCAGCAAAGGAAACCATCAACAAAACATAAAGGGAACTTACTGAATAGAAATACTTGTAGATGATATATCTGATAAGGGGTTAATATCTAAAATATATTTTAAAACTCACACAATATCAAAAAAAAACAAACAGTCTGATTAAAAAGTGAGCAGAGGGCATGAATAAACATTTTTCCAAGGAAGGCATACAGATGGCCAACAGACACATGAAATGATCTTCAATATCACTAATATCAGGGGAATGCAAATCTAAACCACAGTGAGATCCTCACATCTTTCAGAATGGCTGTTATCAAAGAGACAACAAATAACAAGTGTTGGTGAGGATATGGAGAAAAGGGAACCCTTATGCACTGTTGGTGAGAAGGTAAATTGGTGCAGCCACTACAGAAAACAGTGTAGAAGTTCATCAAAAAATTAAAAATAGAACTGCTATATGATCTAGCAATTTTACTTACAGGTATTTACCCAAAGAAAACAAAAACACTAATTTGAAAAGATATGTGCACTCCAACGTTTACTGAAGCATTATTCACAATAACCAACATATGGAAGTAACCTAAGTGTCCATCGATAGATAAGTGGCTAAAGATGCTGTGATACACACACACACACACACACACACACACACACACACACACACACAATGGAATTTTAGCCATAAAAAATGAATGAAATCTTGCCATTTGAAACAACATGGATGGGCTTTAAGGGTATTATGCTAAGTGAAATACGTCTGACAGAGAAAGGCAAATACCTTATGATTTCATTTATATGTGGAATTTAAAGACCAAACAAACAAAATAAGACAGAAACATACTTACCAATATGGAGAACACAGTGGTGGTCACCAGAGGGTAAGGGGGTGGTTGGGTGAAATAGATGAAGGGAAATTGAGAGGTACAAACTTCCAGATATAAAATAAATAAGGCATGTGGATGCACTGTATTGCATAGGGAATATAGTCAATAATATGGTAATAACTTTGGTGACAGATGGTTACTAGATTTGTTGTGGGGGTCAATTCATAATATGTATAAATGTCAAATCACTGTGTTGTACACCTGAAACTAATATAATATTACATGTCAACTATACTTCAATTTTAAAAAAGGAGGGGGAAAAAATCTAGACTTGGGGGGAGTTGTCTCAGTTGTAGGTCTTAAAAGTTTGGGTACACAATGTGGGGTTCAAACTCTTTGCTCCTCAGGGAGAAGCTCTGGATTTTGAGTTTCTACCTGATTGTGGGTCACTGTGCTGGGTTGGGGTTTACAGCAAGATTGTGTCTCAGCATATCCTACCCACTTAGGTGTGAGTTTTTTCTCATTTGCCCAATATGTAGGAGTCACTCAGCTGGTTTTTAGTTTTTTTCAGAGGAAACTGGTCCATATGTAGCTATAGATTTGGCATGTCTTTGGAGGAGGTGAGTTCAGGATCTTTCTACTTGACCATCTTGAACCATAACTCTGAATGAAGTCAGTCTCTTGAAGAGATATCTGTACTCCCTTGTTCATTACAGCATTATCAAATAGCCAAAATATGGAATCAACCTAAATGTCCCTCAAAGAATAAATGGATAAAGAAAATGTGGTATATGTATACACACACAGTGGAATATTACTCAGCCTTTAAAAAGAAGGAAATCCTATCATTTGCAACATGGATGAACCTGGAGGACATAATGCTAATTGGAATAAGCCAGGCACAGAATGACAAATAGTGCATGATCTCACTTATATGGGAATCAAAAACAAGTCAAACTTATGGAAGCAGAGAGTAGAATGGTGGTCACCAGGGCCTGGGGGTGTGAGGGAAATGGGGTGATGCTGGTCAAAGGGTACAAAGTTGCAGGTATATAGAATGAGTAAATCTAGAGATCTAATGTACAATATAATGACTATACATTTAATATAATATTGTGTTAAATACTGGAAATTTACTTAGGGTAAAGTTCAGGTCCTCTCATCCCTACCCCCCCCCCAAAAATGGTAACACTGTGAGGAGATGATATGTTAAGTGGCTTTACTGTAGTAATCGTTTCACTATGTATATCACATTATTTTGTTATATATCTTAAATACATACAATTTTTAGTTAAAATGTTTTTAAATTTTTTAATGAAATTAGCTACAGTAAAAAAGTAAAAAGAAACATAAGATTTAAATTAATTATGTATCTTATTTAACCCAATATATCTAAAATGTTATTTCAACATGTACTCAATATAAAAATATTGATGTTTTACTGTTTTTTTCTTCCTAAGTCTTCAAAATCTGTTGTGTATTTGCACTTAAAGACATCTCAAATTGGACTAGCCACATATAGCTAGTGGCTACCATATTGGACCATGCAGATTTGAATTACAAGAATGCCACAAAAAGAGAATGGATAAGGGGAAACAGAGGCAGGGAAGAAACAAAATAATTTGAGAAAATGTCCAAGAACTAAAGAATACTAGTTTCCAAATTGAGCCCAGCAAAATAAGTGAACTAGATACAGACCAAGGCACCTCATCATATTATTTCAAAACACCAGAAACCTCTATAGGCTTCAAAGGAAAAAAAACAAACAGGTTACAGTCAGAGGATCAGTGGCTTTAGACTTCTCAACAACAATGGATAAATGGAAGACAATGGATCAGTGCCTTTAAAATTCTGAAGGAAAAGAACCACCAACCTATAATTCTATAAATACCAACTACATTGGGAGTAGATAAAAGGTATTTTCAATGATCCAAGATCTAAAAATGTAGCTTTTAGGAAGCTACTGAAGGATGTGTTACACCAAACAAGGAAGTAAACCAAGAATGAGGAAAATGTGATATATAAGAAACAGGAGAAAGTTGAAGGGAATCCCTAGGGTGAAACTGTGAACCAGGCCTAGAGATCAACCAGTCTAGATGAGAGTAAGTCAGAAGGAACCAAGAAAGACTTCAAGGAAATGCAATTGATAGAATACCTAATGGGATTGATTATGGATGTAGAAAACTGGTAGAGGTTTTGGGGTTGAATTAGTAACATGTACTGTACCCCAAAAACTAAGCAAATAAGAGAGAAAAGGAAAATGTAGTTATAAACTCTGAATGTTGAGTAATTTATCTATATATTAAGAGGCTGGGGAGGGCATGTGGGTAAGGTGGAATGAGTGGCAAAACAGCTGAAACCTCATCTTTCATAGTGCAAAATTAATCCACTCCTTAAAACAGAAATATGAGAAAGGAGCAATATAGACATCTTAACTGAAATGTAAAGATAAAAACCAAAATAATCAGGTGTTGAAAATGGTTGGATCTGGGGAAGAGAAAATAAAGGTCTACCATTTTTTCTAATAAATTTTGTAAAACTACGTCTAAGTCTAAAGTATACACATATGTAACTTTTAAAAGAAACATGAACAATAATAAATCTGAGTGAATAAAGGACGTTCAATGGGCCATTGCTAATGAGTAGCCTTATCTCCTAGCATTGAGTACTGGTTCCGCTGCATGGATGTGGATGGGGATGGTGTGCTCTCCATGTACGAGCTGGAATACTTCTATGAGGAGCAGTGTGAACGGATGGAAGCCATGGGCATTGAGCCCTTGCCATTCCATGATTTGCTGTGCCAGATGCTTGACCTGGTGAAGCCAGCCAATGATGGTAAGATTGAATAAAGAGCCATCTGCATTGTACACCTAGGTGTACAATGCAACCTCCGCTGCACTGTAACGGAGTGTGGGATATAATCCTGGATGGTCCTAAATTATTTAACTCCCCAGAGTATTCCATACAGGCTTTCCAAATACAGAAGTATTTTAAGTTTCTCCTTTATTGTTAGCATAGAACCAACAATTGATGGCAAATTCTGTTTAAGAAATAGGCTTTTTCAACTTAAAATAGAACTACCATATGATCCAGCAATCCCACTCCTGGGCATATATCCAGAGAAAACCGTAAGTTGAAAGGATACAGGCACCCCAGTATTAATTGCAGCACTATTTATAATAGCCAGGACATGGGAGCATCCTAAATGCCCATCAACAGAGGAATAAATAAAGAAGTTGTGGTATGTGTATACAATGGAATATTACTCGGCCATAAAAAAGAATGAAATAATGCCATTTGCAGCAACATGGATGAACCTAGGGATTATCATACTAAGTGAAGTAAGTCAAACAGAGAAAGACAAATATATGATATCACTTATATGTGGAATCTAATTTTTTTTAAAAGATACAAATGAACTTATTTATAAAACAGAAGCAGATTTATAGATATCAAAAACAAATTTATGGTTACCAAAGGCGAAGGTGGGGAGGGATAAATCAGGAGCTTGGGATGAACACATGCACGCTACTATACTTAAGCTAGATGACCAATGGGGACCTACTGTATAGCACAGGAACTCTACCCAATATTCTGTGATAGCCTATATGAGAAAAGAATCTAAAAAAGAATGAATACATGTGTATGTATAACTGAATCACTTTGCTGTACACCTGAAACTAACACAACATTGTAAATCAACTATACTTCAATAAAATTAAAATATTAATAAATATAAATTTTAAAAATTGTTTAAAGAAATAGGCTTTTTCCATAGAAACAGAAAGCAGATTAGTGATTGCCAGGGGCTGAGAATTTGGGAGGGGAGATGGAGTTGGACTGCTTGATGGGTACAGTTTCCTTTGGGGGTGAAGAAAATGCTATGGAATGTGATAGTGGTGATGGTTCTGCAACATTGTGAATGTACGAAAAGCCACTAAGTTGTACCCTTTAAAATGGTTAAAATGGTGAATTTTATGTGAACTTTACCTCAAAAAAAAAAAGAAATCAATTTTTATAATCAAATAAGCATATGCATATACTTTTAAACTTCAGTAAAAGTTTTTTCACTTGCCAAAACAGCTCTTGAAATTTACCAGATTTGTTCTTACACAGGCAAAATAACTCTACGAGATCTGAAGAGATGCAGAATGGCTCACATCTTTTATGACACTTTCTTTAATTTGGAGAAATATTTAGACCATGAACAGAGAGATCCCTTTGCAGTCCAGAAGGTACCAGTATAGTTTTAACTTCTATTTGAGGGCTGCAGTATCAGGGGTTGTGTGCTACAGATAAAAATGGTCTCTGTCTGCAGGAATTCTGGTATTTAAAAAAGTAACATTTAAACATTTCATCACATACTGAAATGAGAGAATAAAGGACCGAGAGCACATCTCTTCCCATAGTATTAGAAAGTATATTGGGCTTGATTTAACTGTACCATTCAATTTCGGGATGACAAGGTAATGAAAACTAGATGCTCTCCAAAATAAGACAACCTTCAGATAATGTAACACTTTTTCAAGTGGTAATGATCACTGTACATGACTATCAGTTTGAAGACATTCTACAGCTGAAGAGGGGTGAGCTGCCTTCCCCATACACAAAAACCTGTGGACTCTCAGAAAACCCATGTCCAGAAAAACACCAAACAAACAAAAAGCAGAATATCACCACTTCTTCTAATCCCCTGTTTAAAGAGTAAAAATTATATTGATGGAAAAGAACTGTTTCAGTTGAGTCCTACAGGAGTACAAGTACAGGAAACTTTCTCAGTCTTTTCTTTGTCTTCCATATGTTGCATAACTGTACTTGTAAGAATACAAAGATCAGCTTCTAAAACCAAATACTCTGCACTGGAACTTGGGGCATATCAAGATGCATTATCACTAGCCTGAAGTCAGTATTATATTTCATTGAGTTTAAGATGCCCCATTATTTTATATACCTTTAAGCAAGAAAAATCATTGCCAATTGTAAGTCTGAGATGCATGCCAATTTCAGAGATGTTAAAAGCATGGGGTGAAGTTCTTAAAGTGGATTAAATACAGTAATTAAGACATTGTGTAGTCAGTATTTAGGTACTTGCATTCTTCTAGGCATAACTAACCTTACACCCTAGGGCAATACTAACTCAATTTCATCATGGAAAAACATCATTTTACCTAGAACATATAAACCAAGATGCTGCCTGTATTGTAGAAGGAAAAGAAAATATATGCCCTTTTTTCATTTCTTTTATTTGTGTTATAAATTTTACTTTAAATTTTTTACCTTTAAATTTTCTTTTTTTTTCTGAGAGGTGGTAATTATCAACATTCTGAAAGTGCAGAAAGTGCTCAGTAAATTCCAAGCACTGTGTTGAAAAGACACTGGTTATTTAGAGATGACTCAGTATATAAAGAATGGGTATACAGAGATGAAAAAAGACAGAAGAGCAAAAGGTGGCAACCAAGCATAGTATAGCGAAGGAAATGATTGTGGGGAGAAGGGCAGTTTCTGAAAGATAACACAGATAACACAGTATCTGAGCTGGCTTTGAAAGAAGCAATAAAAATTTGTCAGAGGAAGGGATGGTACATTTCAGGTGGGCATAAGCATACCACAAGTCACTCCAGATAGCTGCTGTGCAAAGTGCCAGAGGAGAAGGGGCTAGAGAAGAACCTCTGAAGAATCTAGACCTAAACAGTCTAGCTGCTGAACAGCCTTATAATTTTGTAATTCAAGGTGTAGAAAATCACTTTAGGAATGTTACTTTAGCACCACTTTTAACATGTTTAAATGAAACATTTTTCAGATAGGTTTTTTTCAGTGATGTAAAACATTTGTAATAACCTATCTCCAATTCTTTGTCTTTGATTTTGTTTCCTGTGGCTGTCCTCTTCCCAATCAGGATGTTGAGAATGACAGTCCTGAGCCCTCTGACTGGGACAGGTTTGCTGCTGAGGAATATGAGACCCTTGTAGCGGAGGAGTCTGCCCAAGCACAATTCCAGGAAGGGTGAGTGAGCCTGCCTTGGTCTTGTAGAACTTTTTTTAACAGGGGTAATAACCACATTAGGACCACCTTAAAAAATCAAGCTAGTAATCCTTTCCTATTTCTACCATTTTTGAATATCATGAAAATGAGTGATTTTAACCAATTTCAGTTAAATGAATATTTCCCCAGCAGTCTTCTCTTTCCTTCTTCACTAACTTCCTGAAAAGTCTTCTCATGTGCCATTTCCTTTAATGGAGTTGTACCTTTCACTGAAAACTGAGATCATTGTGCAGTCGTACTACTTTGCTAGGGATGTTAGTACACCCTGTTTATAAATACAGGAGGAGGCTAGAAGAACTGAAGCTCTTTTAAGTAGTAAAGATCATCATGTTTAAAACAAATCTTTATCAGACATGGTTTGGTGCTTTCAACCCTGAACAGGAAGTAAACTCTATGATTTATAATAGGGTATAATTCCATAAAGGGACTGTGGTAAGAAATTAAATTATCCAAGACTTTTACTGCTTAGAACATTTCAGTAACTATAATTTGCTGGCTCTTTTCATCTTCTCGCGATTCCTTTAGCAGTTCCTATGATTCTTCCTTAGTCATTGTTTCTCTAAGCCTCTCAATTAATCTTTATTATTAATGTAATGCATTGTAATGCATTTTGAATAGGCAGTATATTAATTTGATTTAATATTCAAATAAAAGAATAAATAGTAAGTTTCCTGCTACCCAGTTGTCCCCAGAAGCAACCACTGTTATCATTTTCTGTGCACCCTTCCAAAGACACTCCATCCCCACTCCCTCCCACATGTTCTCACACTCTCTCTCTCTCATACACACACACACACATATATACATACATATGTGTATATGTATAAAAGCAAATACACATATACATTCTTTTATTTCTTTCTTCCTCTTACACATATGGTACCGTACTCATTATTTAGTTCCCTTCTTTTTCCACACTTCTATAAAGTTTCTGTTATACAAGATGAATAAGTTCTGGAGATCTGCTGTACAACATAGTATCTATAGTTAAAATATAGTATTGTGCACTTTAAAATATGTTAAGAAGATAGATCTCATGTTAAGTGTTCCTACAAAAGAAAAAAAAAGAACACAAGGAAATGTTTGGAGGTAATGGATATGTTTAGTACCTTGGTTGTGGTGATGGTATCACAGATACAAGCATATATCCAAAATCATCAAGATGTATTCACTAAATGTGTACAGTTTTTTGTATCAAACTTCAATAAAGCTAAAAATGATAACAACAAAGATTGGGAGAGCAGCATGGTGAACCAGATACTTGTATTTTATGATCATTGAGGTATAAATGAGGCATCACAAATATTTGGGGGGCCCTGAGGTGTATGAAAAAATTAATAAAAGCATAACTGAAGATTGGAGAAAAACAAATCAATAAATTGGAGATTATTCCATAAATATATTTAATGAATGTGCTAAGTTTTTTATAACTATATAATATTCCACTATATAGTTATACCATTATTTTACATTCTTCCGTTCACAAACATTATAGTGAAAATAGTGAAATATTAGAGATATAATGCTGCAGTGAGTAATCTTATGTGTCATTTTATACATATGCAGGATAAATTTCTAGTGCATAGCAAACAGATAGCAAACTTGCAAAGACATAGGAGGATTTTAGAGAAACCAACAAGAAATGATGCAGACACCCAGAACTAGCTATGGTGGGAGCATTTCATCCCTAGGCCTAAAAGGACAAGGAGGTGAAACCATCATCAGAACCCAATGAGAAAAGCTATATGGAGAGGGTCACCTGACAGAACTTGTGACCTTCAGTAATGGGATTAAGCCAACCTGTGACAACCCAGCTGAGGGACAGCTGCTAGAATATCCCGTTTCATTCTCATATCCTTCAGTATCCTGCAGGCACTTCTCTTTAGCTTCCAACCAGAAACCAGAAGACAAAAGAGCCCAATGATGTGGTCCATTTGGGTCAGGCTCCTGGGGCACAGAGCTAGGGGAAGAGTAGATCTAGAGGGATAAACAGAAAATACCCAGCTCAGTAGATAATGTCAAATAGTCCTCCACAGAGATTGTACCATTAAGTCTTGAATATCTTTTCTGAGAGTACTGAAGAAGCCATCACCAAACCACCTTCTTTAATCTAGAGATTTCCTTAACATGCTTAGCCACAAAACTGGGACCTCATTTTTATGTCAAAGACCCAGAGGAAACCCTTAAAATCATTCATCATTCATTGATTATCTTAAGTCTGAGTGCATCAGAAAAGACAGGCAAGTTGATTCACAGGCATGATTTAGTTTTTTGGCAGGGAGCTTCATTAGTAGGAATTGGGGTAAGTGTACTGATCTTATGAAGCAATATCACTACTGTTAAGAAGATGTGTAGATGTTTATAATAGTGAAAACTGGAGACAATCTAAGTATTTAATAAGAAGATTAATAAAATTATCCTACATATACACAGTGCAATCCCACGTAACCATTAAAAATCATTTTGTGGATGTATAATTCTTAACTAGCAAAGAAAAAATAGAGATGTGAAAGAAGGCTTTGAAATATCAAGTAAAAGTGAATAGAAATGAACAAAATTAAGTTATCAGAAAATTAGGTATATATAAGGAAAACAAAAGGGACCTACCTTAAACATACTAGACAGTGGAGCAAATGAAATAGAAAAAAATATTCAAAGATAACAGAAAAGCTTTTTTGAAATAAAAGAAGACCTGAATCTGAAAGGTCAGAAGTCACACCATATCCAGGAAATACTGATGATGACTGGCCCCATGATGTGTGGTGAATTTAACAGAATTCAAAGATAAATAAAAGTTTACTTTGGGGGCTTTTTCCATTTTTAAAAAATGCAAGTCACCAGACAAAAGGGGAAAAAAAAATCAGCCTGGCCTCAGGTAACTCCACAGTAAAAATGAATACTAGAAGATCATAAAATAATATTTATAACTTTCTCAGAGAAAGAAATTCTGTATCCTAAAATTTTATACTAACCCAAGATGGCATTCAAACATGAAAACACAAATGGATTTTTTCAAACAAACATACAAGAACTGAAAGGAATAAAGCACCCATGAGCTCTTCTTTAAAAAGGACATAATCATAAAACCAAGAGATGAACCAAAATAGAGAGCCTAGAAATGGAGTGGCCATGGTGGAAAAGAAATAATAGTGAGTGTTCAATCCATTTAAATATAAAAGGATAGAGGCAGAACATAATATTCTGGAAAAAATAATATAACTAAAAGTGGGATGTAGAGTGGAGGAAGAAATATATGTGTAAGTTTCATTAGCAAGGCCTCAACAGCTACCCTCTAAACCTGATAAGTCAAGTTGAGGGTTTAAGGCTATTAATTAAACACTTGAAAAACCAAAGCCAGACTCTAAATATTCTAATTCAATCAGAAAACATGCACACACAAAAAAGAAAAACACAGACCACGCAGCATAAAGATGACAGAACTAAAACAAATACTTTTAAGTCAGTGAATATAAATGGAACAAACGCACTTATTAAAAGAAAAGTATTCAACTATAGAATGACAACAAAAGTTGAATTAAAAAAGACTAAACACCCCAAAAAAGCTGTCCTGATAACATCAGATTCTTAAAGCAGAAACTCCAAAAGGAAAAAAAAAGGGAAATTGAAACCTGTTATTTGCAGCCATAATAAAATATTCCCTGAAAATGGATACCTTTGTGGTTTATTGTCCAGAGACCATTTACAAAATACATATTAGGCCACAAACAAAACTTCAGTGGACTTCTAAAAAGTAACAGTAATACAGACTAGCTTCTCATTTCAAGGAGGTAAACAAAGCATCCTGTAGTTTTCAGTCTCTGATACCATATAAAAATAAGAAATACAGAGCACCACTTGAAGTAACAGGAGAAACGTTCAGTGGACTAAAGGAAGGAAAGCTGATGGAATCGGACTGAAGAGGGAGCCAGAGCTTAGGTTCTATGCAGGAAGATAAGGAAGATAATTGCCACAGATAAAGGGAGCAGTACTTACAGATGATTCATACCGTAATTTGACTGAAACCAAGAGCAAGAGGGAGACCAGAAGAAGAAGCATCCAGGGAGGTTGAACCCTGTACATCCCATCCTACCCATAAAAGAAAGACAAAAGCAGTGAGTATGGGATCTTGGGGCACCATGGCCCATCCATCCCCCTATTCCCATTTAAAACACTAGCAACCCCACATTGCTCTCTCCTAAGCAGCCAGTGCAGAGGCAACAGTCTGTTCTCTACTTCATAGTAAAGTGGACAAATATCAACCAATAAAATATTCAACAAATGGAAGAACTTTCAACCCTGGAAGGAGACTCACTACAACAATCAGAACAAGACATCAAAATGGGTTTTTTGTTTTTTTTTTTCCTGCACCGCACAGCATGTGGGATCTTAATTCCTCAACCAGGGATCGAACCTGTGCCCCCTGCAGTGGAAGCGCAGAGTCTTTAATCACTGGACCGCTAGGGAAGTCTGACTATTTTTAGAGAGATAAGAGAGAATATTACACTCTTCAGGCAAGACCAGCCAGTGTATCTTTCCAGTATCTGGAAATGAAAAGAAAAAAAATCTTAATGAAAAAACACAATCATTGGGCTAAATAATAGAATGGACACATCTGAAAAGTTTTTGATTTGGAATACTGATTGTGATACAGGAGTAAGAAATCCTTGTAGAAACCAGTAGAAATAATAGCCAAATAATTCCCAGAATTTTAGCTGTTTAAACAAATAAAAAATATACACAGAAACAGGAATCAGCAAATTTTTTCTGGCCAGGTAGTAAATATTTTAGGCTTTGCGGGCCTCTGTCACAATTACTTAGCTCTGCCACGGTGGTGTGAAAGTAGCCATAATATGTAAGCAAGTGAATGTGGCTGTGTTCCAATAAAATTGTAATAATACACACTGAGATATTAACTTCAGATCATGTTCACATCGCGAAATATTCTTCTTTTGATTTTGTTT